CAGAAAACTGATAGAAAATTTGAGCCAAATCGTTCTCAATTGATGTACTGAAAATTATAGGTATTTCGTAACGATAGTCGCGATGTTTGAAAGTTTGTAAATATTTCAGTATAACACCCACACCCGATTGCTATCAATTTAAAGATCAGCCATCCTCTCAACTTCTCCGGTGTAGGATATAAATCGTATATTGGCAATCAATCAGGGTACGCGAACTATTAAAATACGATCTTTCTCACAAATGCTCACGGCGAGAATTGGATTGCTTTTAATTAATTGCGAATGATAAAGTTACAATGAATGAACAAGCATTCGTTGTGAAAAGCATTCATTTGAAAAAAAAAACAAATGTTTGCGAATGCTGTTAAAAACAACAACAAACAAAAATATCATAAAAAAGTAAACACACACACCGAATGAATGTGTGTGTAGCAGAAAGTGTTGAGCATGTCGAGCCATATTCGCCAAATAAACGTAACCCTCACCATAATCGATTTTCGTTTTATTCGATAGATCAATAGTTCTCGATAATCATCTCTTGAAATTTGGTAGCTGTAGATTTTACCGTTATAATTTTACAACAAAAACAATTTTATCGTAAACACATATGATCAGTGTGTTTACATTTTTTTTTTAATACTGAGAAAAGTAAACAGACTACATTTAGTAAGATTTAGCAAATAAACAGCTGATTCAAGAAAACTTTGATTTGCGCCAAAATAAACAAACAAAGGACAAACACAATTATTTGTATTAATTTAATATTAAAATAAAATGAACAATAAAAGAAAATTTGATTTGGTATGTTCAGCGGGAACATTTAAGGGGACCCCCCCCATTCTCGGGGTCAAAATTGTTGTTGATATAATTCGAATCTACACTAATTAAACAATGTCCCCACAAAATTTCAAGTGAAAATCTCAAGAACTCTTGAAGATATATCCGATTTATTGTGTCAACATCAAGTGACGACTGAAGGGCTTCTTAAACTTTAAACGAGTTTTTCTCTAAACATTTTTTTGCGAATGGCGGGCACGATAACTCAAAAACTAATAATCCAATCGGTTCCAAATTTTGCAAGGCTTCTCTGGGAGTGTATAGCTCTCGTATGAACTAGGATAAAGCCAATCGGTGAAGATCTTCCTTATTTTTTAACTTGGTTTTTGGTAAAAAATCGGCGATTTTCCAAAAATATTTTTTCAAAGGTCCACCATTTTGTTAATTTTAGAGCGAAGTCTATAATCCTAGTTCATACGAGAGCCAGACATGTACTCTTTCTAACACCGTTGGAATTTTCGGATTCCGATGTTCCAGTGAGGAGTTATCATGCCCGCCATCAAAAATAAGGACTTTTCTTTAATTACAAAAAACAACAACAAAACAATAACAAAATTTTTTTGTAAATTATTTTTCTTCTCTTTTAAATCTTCAATTATATATGTGCAAAGTTACAAACCTCCACAAGCACTAGTATTGATTTACCAGCCCATTTAAAATCTTGAAAAATTACAATCGAGAATGGGGGGGGTTCCCTTAAGCTTCCTACATCAATACATCGCCCTCTTTCTGGAACTTGCCTAAATATATATATATATATAATTAATTTCTAATTTAAACAAAACATCTAATAGAATTCGAGGTATTGCAACCAGAATGACAAATTTAACATACTTTCCACCTAATGGTATAAGTCGATCAAAGATTCACATACATGAAACCGATAGGAGGATAAGATATTTAAAATAATAGATGTTTTGAAATTTCATTTAAACTAACACATATTTAATATGAATTACTTTATTTTATTTTTATCTTTTGTTATTATTAGACCTCGGATTTTGCATATTTTTTAATAATGAAGATATCGAAATTCTGATTGGACACAAATTCGTTTCAAAGGATTTAGAATTATTTGAAGGGTTCATATTTTTTTAATTTTTTGCATATGCACGAGATATGCAAAATATATGCACGGTATGCTAGGTCGATATGCAATAAATATTTGCATACAATATTCAAAATATAGGCTAAAACAAGCTCCTTGGGTTTCAATGAGGCTGGCCCCACGTTGGGCGCCAATAAAGAAACTCGAAACAACAAGAGTTACAATAATGATGGCTACTCCTTGTTTAGGAACTACTTCCCGCTTATGATCTAGTCCATCAACTTGGGCAAGCGTGGGTAATGATCTTAAGCCTTCAGTGTTCGCTAAACGAATTAGAGCCGGGTGGTCCAGGACTCGGAGTGTAGCGATTTTATTGAAATTTGATTGAGCTTAGGTACTAATTATGAGAAGCAAGATTCTTATCTAGTATTGGTTGTGTAAAAAGGTAGTGATATCAGTGATGTAGTTTTTGGTACTATTTACAAAGTATTTACATAGTTAACCGTTAATTTCAAATGTTTAAAACAGAGTTGCATTTAAATATGGAAATCATAAGATCAATAAAACGTGTTTACACTATTGTAATGAAAATTGAATAAAAATAAAGTTGATCCGCTTCAGTCTCCCCCTCTGATGCTGAAATCGTCCCGATGATGCATCAGCAATAAAGGGTTGTGGAATCTGATAGATGATAAGTAGAGGTGGAGTGTTGATTCAGCAATGAAGATGGCGTTCTCGTAGTCATCATATCTTTCTGGGAGTTGGTACGTCAGGTATACTCCTTCTCCCCCTAGAACAGAACTGCAAACTCGGAACTACATAATCTTCCAATAGCAGCTGCAACCCGTTTACTACGTCGGCGTCTGAGATGGACTCGATGTTTCTGGATGTCACAAATTCTTCAACTAGGCGGCATCTCTCTGCCCCCGAAAACGCAAGTACAATGCGAAACGAACCCGTCCGGTTGTTGTTCGCCATTGCCTGGATCAGTTGTTTGAATTGGCTCTCAGTAAACTGCGTCATATCTTCTTCTTCGCCTGACACGTACTCGTCGTTATCTGCTTTGGTTTCAATGTTTGTGTCGTTGTTCGTGGCCACTTCGTTGGGCATCTATAAAGAAGGCCGTCTGATTTGTTGGTGTTGTCCTCGGCTTTTACTTATAGGTCGTAGTACATGGCCCCACGTTGGGCGCCAATAAAACAAGCTCCTTGGGTTTCAATGAGGCTGGCCCCACGTTGGGCGCCAATAAAGAAACTCGAAACAACAAGAGTTACAATAATGATGGTTACTCCTTGTTTAGGAACTACTTCCCGCTTATGATCTAGTCCATCAACTTGGGCAAGCGTGGGTAATGATCTTAAGCCTTCAGTGTTCGCTAAACGAATTAGAGCCGGGTGGTCCAGGACTCGGAGTGTAGCGATTTTATTGAAATTTGATTGAGCTTAGGTACTAATTATGAGAAGCAAGATTCTTATCTAGTATTGGTTGTGTAAAAAGGTAGTGATATCAGTGATGTAGTTTTTGGTACTATTTACAAAGTATTTACATAGTTAACCGTTAATTTCAAATGTTTAAAACAGAGTTGCATTTAAATATGGAAATCATAAGATCAATAAAACGTGTTTACACTATTGTAATGAAAATTGAATAAAAATAAAGTTGATCCGCTTCAAGGCAATATATGCAAAAATATGTAAAATATGCAAAAAATGTGCAAAATATATGCACAATATGCAAAATATATGCACGGTATGCTAGGTCGATATGCAATAAATATTTGCATAAAATATGCAAAATATAGGCAAAAATATGCAAAATATGGAAAAATATGCAGAATATGCAAAAATATGCAGAATATGCAAAAATATGCAGAATATGCAAAATATTCAAAAATATGCAAAATATGCAGAATATGCAAAATATATGCATAAAATATGCCAAATATAGACAAAATATGCAAAAATATAGGCTAAAATATGCAAAATATGAGCAACATATTTCACATATGCAATCATTTTAATCAAAAAAAAAATTGATTTTTCATGGCAATTTTTTAAATTTTTATAAAATAGACCTCGAATTTGTGTGCTTTCTTTATTTTTAAGCTATAGAAATCAAATTTTGTATGCATGCGTTTCATGGTTCAACTGTTAGATATTTGGGGCATTATGAAACATTTTCTAAATATATGTATAAAACATGCAAACATATATGAACCGTTATATGGGATATACTAAAACGTTGACCGATATATCCCATTTCCAATACCAAACATCCTAGAAGTAATAATAATATATGTGTAAAATTTCAAAGTTCTATCTTTAATATTGCGACCTAGCATACCGTGCATATTTTTGCCTATATTTTGCATAGTTTTGCATATTTTTGCCTATATTTTCAATATTTTTGCATGATTTGCATATTTTATGCAAATATTTATTGCATATCGACCTAGCATACCTTGCATATTTTGCATATTTTTGCCTATATTTTGCATATTTTATGCAAATATTTATTGCATATCGACCTAGCATATCGTGCATATTTTTTGCATATTTTTTGGATATTTTGCATATTTTGCATATTTTTTGCATATATTTTGCATATTTTTTTGCATATATTTTGCATATTTTTAACATGACCTCAAATATCGATCAATTGGAGCATGAAACGCCTAAATACAAAATTTGAGTCCAATCGGATAAAGCATAAAAAATATGCAAAAATCCGAGGTCTAGTTATTATTAATGTTAAGATTTTTATTTAAAGCATTATATTTAATTTAAATTAATTTAAAATGTTTATAAATTCAATAAAATAGGGACGGAAATTCATTTTCTTAAAATACATTTTGGTATTAAGCCTCACAACCGTTATATTCCACAAAAACAACCGTTGTATTCTAAAAACCCACTCAAAATTGATTGATACTCAGTTTAGTATTTCATATAAAACAAAACTACAATTCTAAATTCGTCGCGATAAATTCATTCGTAAAATGAGCCCAAACGGAAAGAGCGTATTTTGAATCATTGGTGAGCGAATTTTGTGCACCCTGCAATCAATGTTATATTTGTTTTTATTTTTTTAACGATTTTCTTTTCTTAATTTACAGAACTCAATTATAATCTGCAACATTCTTCCAGTTCATCAATGGTCTTTCCGAATTCCCCGACCGGTTTGCAACAACAAATGCAATACGTGGCAGCCAATAATGTCATGGTCAATAGGCGTCAAGCTGGTCTATCTGTGGGAAGTATGCCGCTAGGCACAATGAATCCCAAAGGACATCCAATGGCCACAGCAGGTCATCGTCCAATTCTGGTGACTCACTCTCACCCCATGCAAATGAGTCACATGCCACAACAGGTGCCACTGATCAATTCCCCATCCAGTGGTAATATACTACATGTAAGTAAGAATGTGTAGTTTCAGATTACCAAATCACATGTCATATACCTACCTGCATATTTCAGCAAGCAACGGCGAATCGAGTAAAATTTGCACCTGAACCCCAGAAAATGCACCATAGCAAGGGACAAATGAATATGGTTCAGATGAACAACAATATCAACCAAGGTTACAAGCAACAAGTGAATCCCATGACACCCTACATTATGGGTAACAATCAAATGTCGAACGGATCCATGGATCCCTATGTTACTATGAACATTTCACCATTACAACGCTCGAAATCATTATCATCGGCTGATGCTTTGACACGCGGCATTGCTGGTCTCGGTTTGGGCTTGGGCAATGAGGTTACCGATATTGGTCCATTCCCACCAGAAATTCAAGCACTCATCGATACAGCTCTGGAGGATCCAAACAAGTTGAATTCACGTAGCCTGATGGAGTTGACATCACACTTCATTAAGAGGGCTGTGGAGGGTCGTCGCTTTGCATTGCCCATTGCTCGACTTTGCCTTAACATTATCGCTAAAGAACAGAAGGAGACATTCTTGGAAGCATTGCTCAACACTTGTCGTCAATGGTATCAGGAGAGGGAGAAGGTATGTATATTTTTTTTGAATCATGAGTTCATCCATGGATTGAAGTAAACCGTCTCGTAAGATGATTTGTATGATAAATCATGGCAAATTCAGCACTTAATTATAAAAACTAGTGCCAAAAAGAAAAATTAGTATTAGTTAAAATTTTTTACAGTTTTGTAAAAAAAGTCAAATTTGCCGAATGTGCCCCAACCCGGGGTAGCTTCGGCATATGATGGGGTACATTCGGCACCATAGTCTGGTAATTATCATCGCTATCAGTCTGGTTGAAATTCAGATCCTCTAAAGGCTCTATTTGGTTTTAATACGCGACACAATGTTTGAATTTTAGGGCTATATTTTCTAACGGCGGACGTTGAAATCTCAAGGTCGCACACACCATCAGAAATAGGTTTTTTCTTTCGCATTTTCGCCAATATATTTAGTCTTATATATGTAATTTCAAACCATATTAAAGGATTATTTTTAAAGACAAACAAAAAACATTTTAAGGAAATAATATTGCACTATCTACATATGGCCGAATGTGCCCCACTTTAAAATGCCGAATGTACTTTTTATAGTTTTTTCATTTTTTTCTATCTGACTTGTAAAAACATTATATTTTTAAATATTTTTATAATAATACACATCGTAATTAACCACTTTTAATTAATATCGTCTTAAAATTTTAAAAGTTTTATACACGAAATACTTACGAAATGGAATGGAAATATTACAAAAACATCTGTAAAAATACAAGACGCGATTGCCGAAGGTGCCCCAGTCTCCCCTATATAACTATCGTATGAATTGGGATAAATGGAATCGGTCAAGATCTTCCTTATTTTCTAACGTCGTTTGTGGTCAAAAACTCACTATGCCGGCCATTTGAAAATCACCGAAATTTCAAATTCAGAATGGGGATGGTTCCCTTGAGAATATAAACCCTGAGTGGTTCTTTAATCATGGTCAAAATTTATGTCTAAAACCGACATTAACTTGTTTTAAAACATATCCGGATCGTTCTTTTTATTATTTTTTCTTACATTATAATTTTAGGACTCTTATTCTTCAATAATAAGCTAATCAACTTAATTTTTTGTTTTAATTTTATAGCTTCTATTCACTATCCAAGGAATGAAGTCGCCATCACGAGCTCGCTTCACTGCTTTCATGGCATTTCTAACGGAAATGTTTTGCCAATTAAAGCGCCGCCAACTACAGCTGAGCACACAATGTGAAGGAGCACCACCACCATTGGTGCTGCTGACTCTCTTGTCGAAATGTTGTGAAGATTGCGTTAAGCCACCTGTTAGATCTTTATCGGAGGTAATTGGTGTTTTGCACTCTCTTATCTTAATGTTTTAGTTTTATAATCGTCATTGATTTCCTTCAATTTCAGATTGAATGCCTGTTCTATGTTTTGACTTGCATTGGTCAAGATTTGGAAATGCAATTGCCACAACAACTGGAATTATTGCTATCGATGATACGGGATGCGTTCTTGAATGCTAGTGATTCTGCTCCAGCTATTCGACGAACCCTGTTGCAATTGATTGAGCTGCAGGCATCACATTGGCAATTGCCCGGTAATACGGTGCTTTATTATTACCCATCGACAAAATAGGATGCCCCTGCATCCTGGACAGCGTTTACACGAACACATTACTGAAATATGTTATTTGTTATTGTAGACTATATACGCCCCCACTCACACACACATCTACATTTACAGTTACAATACTTACCCTCACACATACATATAATAAAAGTAATGATATACTGCATTTACATATATACGATGATTGATTAAACATTTTCGGAGCAATTGTCCGTCATTGTAATGATGATATGAAAGAGTGCATATTCATAACTAACACATCCATGCATATATAATTACGTACATACATGCAATAATAAGTTATTAATGTTTATTATTTTTTGCTTCTCAATTTACTAACCAAATACTACGAGTAACAAGAATACCCGGGCATAATTCAAATGGCCACATAATTATTATGCTATGATCGAGTTTACGAAATTAATATAGTATCTTAATATGATATATACCAACATATTTATATTAAAAACCCATTATTATCCTGTTTGAGGCAAACGCGAATGCAGTCCCCCCCCTTGAAAGCATTGAAGCATTTTTGAGCTCAAAACTGTTTTGTTCACAACATTTTGTAGAGAAAAGATGAAACAATGAAGAAAGAAAAAACATACATACATACACACATACGGAACATATTAATCCAAATTACATTAAATATAATTATTATAATAATCTATAAAAAACAATCTAATACTAGTCAACAAATATATTTTTAAATAAAACTGATTTTTAAATATAACAATTATAAAACTACAAAAACCTTAGTTTTAATAAAACAACAGCAAAAAATGTAAGTAAAAAATCTATAGATTCTTAAGCGGATACCCTTTAGCATTCCTCGTAAATGCACAAAGTGAAAGTGACCTTTACTATATATATATAGTATATATATATATACAATATAAGTGGTGGCCACAGAATTAAAACATTTACTGTGGTAAAAATCAGCCCTATTCGTTTAGTATTTTTGAAAATTTTTTAATTCAGAACACTCGATATACTGCATTTAAGAGATTTAGTGTGGAAATGGAAAACCCATAAATAGCATGAAGTGGCCATATAATTAAAACATTGTGTAATTTTTTACTTTATGCATTTTTTTTTTAATATTTTTTAAAAAAGCTCTTTAAAGTGAAAGTGACCTTTACTATATATATATAGTATATATATATAAAATATATATATATATATACAAAATATATATATACAATATATATATATATAATATATATATATACTGATATTGGCATTTATTACACACAGCTGGAATATATTTTATCAAAAAATTACCAGTCACAACAGAAAGAACAGAGATCAACTCCGCCACACAGCAGCATTTTTGATAACACAAGACTTTAAATATTTGTCAAATTGTAAAAATTTTCCAGGCGCAAAAAATATTATTTTGGAAAAATATTGTCATTAGATTTGAAGGGTCAAGAGTTAACCATCAAACATGCTGCTTTTCCAATTTGAAAGTTTTCTCGTCCATATCTCTGTTCGTTCTGTTGTGACTGATAAATTTTTTGATTAAATATATTCTGTACTACTCGAACAATCGATTTCCAATTTGAAAGCCTTCTTCAGTAAAATTGAAATTGAATCGTTCCTTTAGGTTAATTCCCATTTTTTGAGTTTTTATTTCAAATATTTATTTATTTTGAGAATTATTTATTGTTTTTTACTAATTCTAGCAATTTCTGGTGCATTCGGACCTTTATTTTCTATAATAAAGGTGATTTTCTGAATGTACAAATTGTTGGCAATTTTGATAGATTTTACAGATTTTTTTCAAAAATTTTTATCAGTAAATGATTTTATCGGTGCTTAGTTTACATAATTTAACTAAATTAAAGAGCTTTTTTAAAAAATATTAAAAAAAAAATGCAGTAAAGTAAAAAATTACCAATGTTTTAATTATATGGCCACTTCAAAGTGATGTATTTTCATAAAAACCGTTATTTATGGAAAAATTGCATGAAATAATTTTCCATTTCCACATAAATCTCTTTCAGTATATCGAAGTGTTCTGAATTAAAAAATTTTCAAAAATACTTCAAACGAATCGAGGGCTGATCAAAAAATGTTTACCACAGTAAATGTTTTAATTCTGTGGCCACCACTGTATATATATATATACAATATATATATATATATACAATATATATATATAATATATATATATATACTTACTTACACAGCTGGCTTGTGACAGAACTTTCGTTCCATAAGCCAAGCTTAAAAAAGATTTCCAGGCGCGTCGGTCTTTTGCGCAGTTTTTCCAATTTGAAAGACCATATTCATATTCCAATTTGAAAGACCATAATTTTGTCTTCCACTTGGTCTTTCCATCTTATTCTTCGCCTTCCCCTTCTGCGTGAACCGTTAGCTGGTTCGCTTTTATATGCCTTCTGGGCTGGGGCATCTTTATCCATTCTCACAAAATGATCGAGCCAACGTAGTCGCTGCAGCCCAATACGTCTAATAATATCGATGTCCGAGAATAGCTGGTACAACTCTTGGTTCATTCGACGGCGATATTCACCGTCAACGCAGATCGGCCCATAGATCTTTCGGAGAATTTTTCTCTCAAACACTCCAAGAGCTGCCTCATCTCCTTGCGCAAGTACCCATGCTTCAGATCCATATAACAGCACGGGTAGTATCAGCGTCTTGTAGAGTGTGAGTTTGGTCTGGCGGGAGGTGGCCTTGCTTTTGAGTTGTTTGCTCAGACCATAGTAGCATCTGTTGGCCATCACTATCCTTCTTCGAATTTCAAAACTGATGACATTTGTTTTGTTTATGGCGGTACCAAGGTATATAACGTCTTTGACTACCTCGAAGCTGTAGTTCTCAAGTTCCACAGTTGGTCCGAGTCTACTGGACGTCTTGCGTGTTGATACCATCAGCTTGGTCTTCTCGGCGTTTACTGCCAGACCCACGTTGGCAGACTCCTTTTCAATTTGTTCAAAGGTAGCTGTTACCGCTCTCAGTGTTCGACCCATTATGTCGATGTCATCGGCGTAGGCGAGTAACATGTGTTGTTTGGTGTACAGAGTGTCATTTCTGTTCACTTTTGCCTCTCGTATGACCTTTTTTAACAGGATGTTAAAAAGGTAACACGACAAACTGTCACCTTGTCTGAATCCTCGTTGGGTATTAAAGGGCTCCGAGAGGTCCTTTCCGATTTTAACTGCTGATATTGTGCCAGTTAAAGTTATCCTGCATAGCCGTATTAATGTTGCAAGCATGCCAAACGCAGACATGGCTTTATACACCTCTGAACGGATAGGGCTGTCGAATGCGGCTTTATAGTCGACGAATGGGTGGAATGTGTCGAGGTGTTTTTCGTGGGGGTTTTCCAGGATTTGGTGCAGAGTGAAAATCTGGTCAATGGTGAATTTGCCAGTTCTGAAGCCGCATTGGAATGGTCCAATAATGTCATTAACCATTGGCTTCAGTCGTTCACACAGTATGCTGGATAGCACTTTATATGCGATGGGAAGGAGACTTATTCTTCTACAGTTGGCACATATTGTCTTGTTTCCTTTTTTGTGCACGGGACACAGGATGGGCATGCATTTTTCTAGTCAAATTGTACTAATCAGCTGGTGCATGTTCCTGACCAGCATCTGACCACCTGTCTTGAATAGTTCGGCTTGTACCCATCGCCACCTGCTGCTTTATTATTCTTCAGCCGATTGATTGGTATTTTGACTTCATCTTGGATAGGTGGTATACACTATACTGTCATCTATTAATGGTTCTGGGGTATCTTCTTCACAGCTGCCATTTGATACCAGAAGTTTTTCAAAATGCTCCTTCCAGATCTTCAGCACACTGTCTGTATCTGTCACCAGGTTTCCTTCTTCATCTCTACAGGAGGATGTGCCTGCACCAAAGCCTTTGGTACAATTTTCAGACTTCATTCTGACGCCTGTACATCTCGATTTGCTCACGCTCACGTTTTTCTTGTTCTTTCTTCTTTTTCCTGAAAAAACGGTTCTCCTCTCTCCTTTTCTCCCGACAGTTCTCCATCGCATTACATGTTGCTACTGTCCGCAGGCTTGTCCTATACGCTGTTTTTTTCTCGATTTGCTCACGCTCACGTTTTTCTTGTTCTTTCTTCTTTTTCCTGAAAAAACGGTTCTCCTCTCTCCTTTTCTCCCGACAGTTCTCCATCGCATTACATGTTGCTACTGTCCGCAGGGTTGCCCTATACGCTGTGTTTTTCATATCAGTAGCATTACGACACTCCTGATCGAATCACGGATTTCTTGATGGTGGTCTTTGGTACCCAAGTGTTGCTTTTGCTGCAGTTTGTAGGGAGTGGACAATTCTGTGCCACTGAGCCTCTATATTATTATCGGGACAAGGGGTGCTTTCGTCAAGCAGTTGGGTAAGTTGAGCGGAGTAGGCTTCTGCTATCAGTTGTGTTTGCAGCTTTTCGACGTCAAATTTCCGTGTTACATTAGATCGCACCTTTGCTCTACATTAAGACGGGTGCGTACCTTGGCTGCCACAAGGTAATGTTCCGAATCGATATTCGCTCCACGGATCGATCGGGCGTCTAAAACACTGGATGAATGCCTTCCGTCTATCACAACATGATCGATTTGATTTCTCGTTATTCGATCGGGTGAAATCCAAGTGGCCTTGTGTATATCGAGATGCTTGAATCTGGTGCTGCTAACTACCATGTTTTTTACGGTCGCGAAGTCAATCAACCTCATGCCGTTGTCTGATGTTTCTTCATAGAGGCTGAATTTTCCGACGGTGGCCCCAAAGATATTTTCTATTCCGATTTTTGCATTAAAAACTCCTAGCAGAATTTTAATGTCATGGCCAGGGCAACGGTCATATGCTGTTTCTAGGCGCTCGTAAAATGTGTCTTTGGTCTGTGGTCTTTGAACATTAGGTGGGTTTGGTTTTCTTTTTCTTTGCTTTTTCATAGTAGGTTGGGTTTTCCGAGTGTGAGCAACTAACCCAACGCCTCTACCCATTTTTTATAGTTCTTATGGGTGAACTCGCGGCACATATTAGCTCACTATTTCATGTTTTTCTTAAAAAAAATAGTTTTGCAATAGAAATGTTTTAATTCCATTACAATTCGTATAAATTGCCATATTTATATTGAATATATTTACACGGATATATGTTGGAAAAAATAATATTTTAGGATCAATATTACGGGAATTTGTTTATTATATTAAAACAAATACATTTCTAAATATTCAACAATAAGTCTTAGTAATTAATTCAGATGATCTGTCGCGGCATTAATAGACATATCTCCACATTTCTACGTAAAAAAATATGGTGAGTAATCTTTGACAACTCATAGGGTACATACAGCAGTATTCGGCACTTAAAAATTTGGGTATCCGAATGCCTTTTTTCAAAGAATACATCACCTTGAGACGAACTAAAGAGTCTGGAATACTGCTGTTAGACGTAGATAATCCGAATGGAGGAAATTTGAGAGCGCAACCGCACTGGGGATGACAAACTTTTTTTTCAAAGGCAATTTTAATGGTTCAGAAGGGGAAGTCCACGAATAAGATGGGTCTTTCAAAAAAAAAAAAACTGCGCAAAAGGCCGACGCGCCTGGAAATCTTTTTTAAGCTCGGCTTATGGAACGAAAGTTCCATATATATATATAGAAGAAAAAGATATGCACATTGCCATTCGGACCAAACTTTAAAAATATAAATTCGAAAGCATTTCAATTTTTCTATCGCTACAATATAATAACCAGACTACTTAATATGAAGGAAATTTTAGATATTATTGATCTAATTTAGCTGGGACTTCCTTAATAATAATACCACTAAATCGAGTAAATGCAATTGTTAGGCTAATCAGACAAATGCAATTGATGAAAATATATAGCACATTCATAAAACAAACTAGACCAATGTAAACGCAAAACTACCATCAACTAAAAATCGTACTGATTCGATCATCAGGAAACTAAACGCATTAATGAATTAATTGCGAACGGAACAAAAACGAAAAAAAAATCTAACAACACACACCAGCAAATGCCACTACATATGTATGTGCCGATTAGAGCTGTTGTACGTGTTGTGCTAATTTAATTTCATCGACTCAAACACATCTGATGCCGCTAAATTGGTGGATACGAACACTAGTGCCAAATAAATTCATCGGTGTTGTAGAGGAAGCAGCAGATTCATTCAAGCATAAGTTGCCGGGATGGGCATAGTTTGGTATTGAATTTTCCCATCATATGTCAGATAGAGATGCCGATTCAGACAATTTATTATACACATGCAAATTAAATATAGCAACATTTTGATCGCTAAGAGATTCAAAGTCGGGAACTTTTTCCATGTCTATGTACCAAAACTCATTGATGTTGGTCGAATATAAAAAAGGTGGAGCACGGCGATATGTTGTGTTGAGCCATCAACATACTTCCGAAAGGTTGCACAAAAGCATGTGTTTACTGTGGAAGCAATTGTAGATGTATGGATTAATTATCCATCGCTACAACAAAAAACTGCTTTGAAACTGACTGTTTCTAGAGTGAAGACAAATGTCGAACTTTGACAAATTTGAATTTAATTTGCAGCTGCAATTTCGCATCAACTGCATCATAAATATAAGTTATCAACATACGACTTTGTAAAGCCATGGCTTTATATGCACATATCCAAATATGCATGATCAGCCGCTTAACCAACGGCGAAAAGCGTCGCATAATGGTGGGTGCGTAGGTTCTTCTTCTGGCTTTCCTTTTCATTTCAAAACTTCGATCATTAAGCTCGACACGAAAAAAAAACAGACCTAAAAAATCGATTTGTTGAAAACGGCAGTGTTGTTCAAAATATATATTTGTGTAAAAATTAATTTGAAATATATTCAAATTTAATTGAAATGAAAATGATTTTTAAAGCGTTCGTCTGGAAGTTAATTCTTGTTAATGGATGAAACAAATATTTCATGACTACTGGATTTTGGGAACAAACAATAAACTTTTATAATTTTCTCGTTTTATAGTTATTGGTCTGCTCCAGTACTTTTTTAATAGTAAAGCTAGTAAAAGGGAAACATTTCAAAATCGCTCTCAGAGTACAAAATAATTTGAAAATTTCGGAACGCAAACCTAGTAAATATGTCAAAATTAGATGGCAATACTTCAAAATCAACATAACAGCCAATCAGAAGTTGTTATTCCTGTTTACCATTTTTACTCGTTCAAATTTCTCGAGTAAAAAGTTTACAAAGAGAACGCCATTTTGTTTTGTGTTCTCTTAAATTTGGTTCAAAGGTTTGCTAGTTTTGTTGGTTGGGGAACGGTTTTCGAGTAAAAAGTTGCAAAACTTGTAAAATTAGTAGATTATTTTAGGTTCTGGAACGGAACATATATGTATGTTAAAAAAGTTTGAAAGAAGAAGCCACTACCTACATATGGCCTGTTCCAGTACTTTTTTAATAGTAAATCTAGTAAAAATGAAAAATTTCAAAATTGCTCTCAGAGTACAAAATAATTTGAAAAGTTCGGGAACACAAATCTAGTAAATATGCCAAAATTAGATGGCAATACTTCAAAATCAACATAACAGCCAATCAGAAGAAGGCATTCCTGTTTACCATTTTTACTCGGCCAAATTTCTCGAGTAAAATGTTTTCAAAGAGAACGCCATTTTGTTTTGTGCTCTCTTAAATTTGATTCAGTAAAAAGTTGCAAAACATGTAAAATGAGTAGATTCTTTTAGGTTCTGAAACGGAACTATAGTGTTTTTTTCACCTCAAGCTGTCCTACCTCGTATTATGGTACCATGATATTTAGTTGCTTATTTCTTATTTTAGATTCAAAATCCATAACTAAATACATAATAACCGAAAAATAAACCCGGACATACATCCAAATATATATATATATATATATATAGAAGAAGATATGCACGTTGCCATTCAGTATCTGTAACAATATCTGAAACAATACTACAGAGTTGTGTTTTTATTTTTATTTTCCCCTTAATTTGTCCGGCCTTGTATAAATAAATAAACTACTGCCTCGCAATCACTAGTTCGATATTATGCAACTTTTTAGTTTTATATTAAATTTGTTAGCATTTTTATGGATATTTTCATAATTACAATACTTTATTGCATCTGCTTTAATACATTCATACAAAAATTTATGAGGGACGAGTGGGGGCTTCTTGTGTTTGCTACATGCTACGGCACGCGATGTTATTATCGGCTTGCACCCAAGCAATACAAACTCCAAACGAATTGGCTTACCTTGCTCTTGATCTCAACTGAAAGAAAAGCAATAGTTGCAGTAATTAATTAAAGCAACAAATATGTCTGGGCTGCAACGTCAGGGCAGCGGTAGCAATGCCTTAATATGAATGAAATTCAAAGAAAAAAAAAACGAAATTGAGGAAAAATTAATTGTTCTACATTTATGCCACAACATACTCCTATTTGCTTGGATCGGCGCAAAACGGTACCTCTCGATGCGTGGAAGCGTTAAAAAATGAGAGTTAAAAAACATGTGAAGCGAAAAGGAGGAAACCGCAAAAAAATGCAATAGTTATAAATATGGAGTCGGTTTCATGCACAACGTCAGTCTAAACTAAACACCTTTAAAATTTAGTGTATTTGGAAGGCACAATAAAGGATTACTTTACGCGGAATACAGATTCAGTTTTAGAACGTCATTATAGTATCTAAATCGAAACAAGGATACCATGACACAACTGGTGAGCTGTTTAAAATTGCAAATTGAATGTGTTAAGCATATGTGTGTCTAGTCGCCGTGACAAAATCAAATTAGTGCATATTTATTATATATATTAAATCGAATTTTATATTGAAAACCATGGGCACTACATGTATATAGTTCAAGTTTTTGAAAGGTTAAACGTAACGCCTGGTTTTCAATTTTCACTTGTCTGAAAGCGTTCTGTTTAAATTATTGCTGAAAGCTACACAACGATTAGAATGGATAATCGCAGTTTGTTGTGAATTCATTCTGTGGCCGTCAAATTAAAACCATCCAATTGTTAAAGACTGTCAAAGTGTGTAATTTCTACTTGAATCCGACGTGCAATATTGCCAACCATGTGAAATATTATAAGGAATATTTTGATACATCACCTTATTATATCATCATGGATCTAATCATGGCCTATAAATAAGGTCACCCAGGGAGACCAGCTGGATATCTGCGCCACTCAAGTTTACTGTCAAAATACATTATTGTGAATTGACTCCCATTATGAAAACGTAAACAAAGTCGAAATTTTTGACATAAGCACATGTTTGACGTGTGTGGCGCGCTTTAAATTTGTGTGCTAGTCTCACACATACATTTACAAATTGCCATCCTCTCACCGTGTGCATCACTGCCATAGACTAATGAAGATATAGACGACGAAATACTCAAAAAATGCGTGGTCAAGTGACTCAAAACAAAAAACTCAACAATTTTTAAAGTCGTTTTTTGGGGAAAATGGCCTAATAAATCAATTTATTATTTAATAAACAATAATGTCAAGAAATTTGGATAAAATTATTGAAAAAATTATTTTTCTTCCATTTTATTAATAATTCATTAAAAAACATCCACAATCTTTGAAAATATTTGTTTTTTTAACAGTACTGCCATATGTTTTGATATAAATTCTCATTGAAATTTGGTAGCACTGTTGATTTTTACCTAAAATATGGCAACTCAATTGAGAGCAAGAGAGAAATTTTGAGTATGACGCTGAGCAAAAATGAATAAGAGTCTAAGAGTCTAAACGCAACCAGAGAGTCACGAGTCAGCGTCATACTTTTTCGCCGGCGTGAAAACCAAACGAAAGAGTTGGCGTTAGCGGCACAAAATGTCAATTATATGTTTTTATTTTCTGACAGAAAATTTTACGTTGTGCAAACAAAATTCAATTTATTGTTTAATAGACAATAATGTCAAGGAACTTGGATAAAATTATTGAAAAAATTATTTTTCTTCCATTTTATTATTAATTCGTTCAAAAAACGTCCACAATCTTTGAAAATATTTGTTTTTTTAACAGCACTGCCATATGTTTTGATATAGATTCTCATTGAAATTTGGTAGCACTGTTCATTTTTACCTAAAATATGGCAACTCAACTGAGAGCAAGAGAGAACATTTGAGTATGACGCTGAGCAAAAATGAATAAAATCTATTCTAGCGTCAAGCCGCTAGACGAGAACGTCAGCCGTCGCGATTTCCCGTTGCATATAAGAAACACACGGCAAAGGGCTGTCGCTGACTCTAGACTCTATGGTTGCGTTTAGACTCTAAACGCAACCAGAGAGTCACGAGTCAGCGTCATACGTTTTCGCCGGCGTGAAAACCAAACGGAAGAGTTGGCGTTAGCGGCACAAAATGTCAATTATTTGTTTAGATTTTCTGACAGAAAATTTTACGTTGCGCAAACCAAAATCAATTTATTATTTAATAAACAATAATGTCAACAAATTTGGATAAAATTATTGAAAAAAATATTTTTCTTCCATTTTATTAATAATTCATTAAAAAACATCCACAATCTTTGAAAATATTTGTTTTTTTAACAGTACTGCCATATGTTTTGATATAAATTCTCATTGAAATTTGGTAGCACTGTTGATTTTTACCTAAAATATGGCAACTCAATTGAGAGCAAGAGAGAAATTTTGAGTATGACGCTGAGCAAAAATTAATAAAATCTATTCTAGCGTCATGCCGCTAGACGCGAACGTCAGCCGTCGCGATTTCCCGTTGCCTATAAGAAACACACGGCAAACGACTGTCGCTGACTCTAGACTCTATGGTTGCGTTTAGACTCTAAAATCTATTCTAGCGTCATGCCGCTAGACGCGAACGTCAGCCGCCGCGATTTCCCGTTGCCTATAAGAAACACACGGCAAACGACTGTCGCTGACTGTAGACTCTATGGTTGCGTTTAGACTCTAAATCTATTCCAGCGTCAAGCCGCTAGTCGCGAACGTCAGCCGTCGCGATTTCCCGTTGCCTATGAGTCTAAACACAACCAGAGAGTCACGAGTCAGTGTCATACTTTTTCGCCGGCGTGAAAACCAAACGAAAGAGTTGGCGTTAGCGGCACAAAATGTCAATTATTTGTTTTCATTTTCTGACAGAAAATTTTACGTTGTGCAAACCAAAACCAATTTATTATTTAATAAACAATAATGTCAAGGAACTTGGATAAAATTATTGAAAAATTATTTTTCTTCCATTTTATTATTAATTCGTTAAAAAACGTCCACAATCCTTGAAAATATTTGTTTTTTAACAGCACTGCCATATGTTTTGATATAAATTCTCATTGAAATTTGGAGGCACTGTTGATTTTTACCTAAAATATGGCAACTCAATTGAGAGCAAGAGAGAAATTTTGAGTATGACGCTGAGCAAAAATGAATAAAATCTATTCTAGCGTCATGCCGCTAGACGCGAACGTCAGCCGTCGCGATTTCCCGTTGCCAATAAGAAACACACGGCAAACGACTGTCGCTGACTCTAGACTCTATGGTTGCGTTTAGACTCTATAAGAAACACACGGCAAACGACTGTCGCTGACTCGATTAAAAAAAAAAAAAACACTGAAAAAAATCTGGTGAGAATTAAATATGTTTAAATCGACACATGTTTATATGCATTTTTCTCATGAAGAGGATAAATTCTTATTGAAATTTGAAATAAATGCCAATGCCAAATACATGGAATTGAAAAGGTATCGTTTTTTTAACTTTTCAAAAAAAAAAAACAAAACTCAAAAATGTTACCTGTAGTGCTATTCTGTAACTATTTAACGACAGAATTGCCGGCGATTGTCGATAACTGCAATTTTTCATTTGCCTAATTAACGAAAAAATAAAGTAGTCGTACCGACAGTTATCACAAATATATTTTTTTTTATATATAAAAAATATGTGTTTTAATTTTACTGATATTTGTCGGTAACATTGAAAAAAAAAAATACAGAATTGCACTACAAACAATTTTTTGTGTAGCAATAGCAAAGATACAAACCAATTTTATCCATACATTTAAATTTTTGCCAATTGTCTAAAGACTTTCTTGAATTTTTCATTAACACTAAATATGGGCAATTTTTGACATTTTCAAATAATATTGCAAAACACAATTTCAAATAATGGAAAATTTTACTGAAATGGATTAAACATAAAACCAGTAACCCTTCACCACTTTGGGTATATTCTACAGAGGTCGCCTTTTCGAACGAACATTGACATGAAATTGAACGAAGTTAAATATGCGATCTTTATCTGTAAGTAAACCGACTAACATCTATCCCAACATATGCCAACTTTACACACGCTATTTGGCATACATTGATAATTGGGTGTACATTCAACAAATATAGGTCGAAATTATATATGGAAGCTTTACTATATCTAAATCTGTACCAATTTCAAGGAAACTTGCTAGATATTAAGTTATATTAGTTTTAGTACGTTGTGTCAATCGGCCTAGCTTTGGGTCTTCAGTACACCATGTATTTAAAATCGGACGAAAGTATATATAGAAGCTATATGTAAATCTGAACAGATTTTCACGAAACCTAGCACAAATCATTCTGGACCTAATTGAGTACCCCATGCCAAATTTCGTGTAAATCGAAATACATGTAGGAACTTTGTAGTCCCATTTACCTTATATCGGACGAAAATATATGTGGGAGCTATATAAAAATCTGACCCGATTTTCTCGAAAGTTGGCACACGTCATTCTAGACTCAAAATTTCGCGCAAATCGAAAGATTTATAGGGCCTTTAGTGCACCATTTACATTTAATAGGACGAACATACATATATACAAGAAACTTAATACCAGGGTGCGAAGAATGATTAAAATACACTCTTTCTCACGAATGCTCAAGGGCGAGAATTCGAATGTTTTCAATTTATCGCGAATGATAAAGTTACAATGAATACACAAGCATTTGCATTCTCTCGCGAATTTTCGCATTGTACGATAAAATTTCGCTGCAAGCGTCGTCGATTCATTCTTTCGCGAGCATTCTTTGCTGAAGAATATTCTTTTGAAAAACTCAAAAAACAAATGTTCGCGAATTCTCGCGAGCACTGTTAAAAACAACAACAAACAAAAATATAAAAACACACACAAACAATGAAAGAATGTGTGTGGAACAGCGGTCGGCAACAAAACTTCATCTGCAATAATACATTGCTACGATCAAAATTATGAAAACAAGCGATAACACAACCACCGTCATCAACAGCTGAAACGAGACTGATCGGTGGTTGTTTTCTTTCACGAACGTTTGTTGTTATTGTTGTTGCCGTTTTGAGCATTCTCGAGAATTCGGGAATGTTTGTTTTCATTCGTGAGAGAATGTCAGAAAGAATTTCAACCACCAAACGAAACGAACGTTGTTGTGTGCTCTCACTCGTTTGTTATGTGTGTGCGAACATTCTTTGGCGAATGCTCGTTTGATAAAGAATTTATCGCCATAAATTCAATTTTTAATTTTTGACAATTAATGCATCAATTGTCTTCAACTGTCCTGTAGCTTGTAGATGCAGGTTTAAATTCAAAACAGTTTTCAAAAAATGACAGCAGCTGAAACAAAATATAAACGTATTATTTGGTTAACAAAAATTTAATGCGGCAGTAACAAACTCGACGGCTTTCCCTTTTATGGCTAGGCCATTTTATTTAATCAAAACTTAAATTACATATCAGGGTAAATAGCTTAAACCTAACATCAATATTATGTATGTACTAGCCTACTTTGAATCTTAACATAATAGTGCAACTGCATGCTGTGCACTACACTACATTCATTCTTAAACACAAGTGTCTTAGGCCGGACTTATTCTCCGTTGACCTTGTCTTATTCCAACGTGTTAGCTATGTTACCCGTTCGTATTTTGGATGAAATGGACTAACAGCTTGTTTTTGTCTTCTTTCTAATCGCCCTTCCATCCGAATTGCTTGAGATTTTACAAAGTTTAGGGGTTCGGGGTCAGAACCTTAAGGTTAAAGTAACACAAATTGTTCTTTAGAGTATTACAAGGTCGGCCAGTTCGACTATAATACTTAGTTAACTGGTTACCTAACTGACTATCATTTCCATAATTGTAAATATTTGCAGCAATTAGGTATTCCGGTACTGCTGGTTTTACTGTTATCCGGAAGCATTGCGTTTGCTAGAACCCGAAGAACAGATGATGTGGAAGAAAATCAATACACCATCCATCAGCACAACTACGAAGAACAACAATCAGAAACAACCAGTGCCGATCTACATGCTCAGGAATCGGGTAAGGTAGAATTTAAAGTCCATCCCGATCCCAATAGCAATATAGAACGGGGCAAGAGGGGCTCTCACAAACATGGACTTACTGCCATACTAAAGCCAGTCAACCGTCGCAAGAAACACATCCTGCTGAAGGTCCAGCCAAGGCATAAAAAGCCTATTCGCAACTCCCAGCCAGCTCAACAAAATATCCAACAAGATGATGTCAAGGTCTTCCATACATATGAAGAAACACATGAGCATATCATCGAAAAGGACGAAGAACCCCAATCTGTGCCACAAGTTGATAGCCAGACCCCGGAGGCTACCGAACAACTTGAAATTCAGGCAGAACAACAGTTTTCCGATCCAATAACCCAAGAGACCCAACACTTCCATTCCGAGGAGGAGAAACACGAGAAGCACAAGAAAATTAAGGTTAAACATCATCACCACCACCATCATCACAATCACATCAAAGAGATTATCAAGAAAATACCGGAACCGTATCCAGTGGAAAAAATTGTCCACGTACCCGTAGAAAAATTAGTCGAGAAGGTGGTACATGTTCCAAAACCGTATCCTGTAGAGAAAATAGTGAAAGTACCGGTGGAAAAGTTGGTTCATGTTCCAAAACCGTACGCCGTGGAGAAAATTGTAGAGAAAAAGGTACCATACCCTGTGGAAAAAATTTTCGAAAAAATTGTTCACGTGCCGGTCGAAAAGATTGTGGAAAAAATAATCCACATACCAAAACCATATCCCGTGGAGAGGATCGTAGAGAAAATCGTTCATGTGCCGGTAGAGAAGGTCGTGGAAAAGAAGGTTCCCTATCCCGTCGAAAAGATTGTGCACGTTCCTGTGGAAAAGGTGGTGGAGAAAATTGTTCACGTTCCCAAACCCTATCCCGTTGAGAAAATCGTTAACAAGCTTGTAGCAGTGCCGAAGCCATATGCTGTTGTCAAACCCGTTCCTTATCCAGTTGAAGTAAAAGTGCCTATACATGTGGAAAAACCAGTACCTTACGAAGTGGAAAAATACGTGCCGGCTCCATATCGAGTAGAGGTCGAGAAAAAAGTGCCAGTTTACATACACTCAAAGGAGCCCTATAAATTTGAGCGATCCAAACTCACTGATCACACGAAGAACAACGACGACGACTTCATAGACCATGAACACAAAGGCCTGGAACAGCATAGCCAAGAAATTGAATCGTTTAACCAACATTCGCATGATTTGTCCGTTTTCCCCTCCAACCATAAGCCGAGATTAAGTAAATTGCAAGCGGAAGAGTCACAGGAAACACAACAACAAACAAGGCAGGCTCAGGCAATTCGATCAGAACTTGTACGTCAACAGCAGCATCAGCAACAGAATCAATATCAGCAACAACAACAAACCCAATTCCAACAGCAACAACAACATCAATACCAACAACAGAATCAGTACCAACAACAAATTCAAAGTCAGCAACACCCTCAGGAGCCAACCACTCAAGAAAGTCAAAACATCGAAGTCTCCATACCGCCCAAGACAAATCCCAAATTCCGCATAAACGTTGAAGACGTCCAACAGACGGCCAATCAATCGCCAGCCTCGGATATGCAAACAGAAGCTTCGACAAATTCACTGCAAATGGTGACTCGCATTCAACAAATCGCCTTACCATTCCATTTCCTCCAATACCACCACGTGCCGTTTCAACAGCCCTTGGGCTTCTCATTGACCCCAAACAAGAAATGAGTGAACACGCACCCACTCACACACACAAAGAAATGATGCGTTTAGTTTATGAATAGTTTAGACAATAAGTTTACTTTAAAACCATATTATTATAGTTTAATTCAATTTAACAATTTTTGAAAGAGAATTGCCAATAAAAAACGACGATTATTTTGATATGTATATACATACATATGTACACAGACATAAATATTTTATATTATTTGATATGAGAAAATTGCAGATTCAATTCTAAGGAGGTAAGAAAGTGTATTCAGTAGTATTTTGGCGTTTTGTTTGTCGTTTTTATAAAACAACAATTTGAAAATACCACCACATTTGATAAATATTTTTTGTAAAAGCTAAATATGGTTATTTTTTTAATTCAATATATTTTGACAAAAAATTTAGATATCAGTTGGTCTCCTATTATATAGACCTTGTGCGAGTTCAAAAAGTCCAACAACGTTACCTAAAATTCAATGAAGCGTACAAAAATATTCAACTTCCCACTATGGTAAAATGTTTTGTACGGCCGTATTACCCAAATACGTCGAATCCATTTCTATAAGCGTACTAAACAAAATTGCGAAAAAATTAAAAAATTATAAAAAGTGTACAAATATTTTATATTCTTATTGTAAACAATTATATTTCTTTATGTTTTGTTTTTTTTTCAACAAAAGAAAAAACAAAACAACGTTCTGTAATAGTTGAACTTTTTCAACTTTGAAAATTCGTACGTCGACGTATTTCGGTTACATTCATATATATACATGTGTTCTACTTTTGTGGTGAAAAACGTCGAACGTGCTAGTTGAATTTTAGGTAAGGCTGCAAAATTGTTAAATTTTTTTTTTTGCCACAACAACAAGTTTTGGCAGAAAATGTAGATACAGAGTTGTGTATTTCCCGAAATTCGCCTTCTGGATGACCTGATATTTGGACCATGTATAAAAAATATATTACAATTTTGATAATTATTCCAATGGTTTTATAACAAAACAAATGAAAATACACCCTAACAACTTATTACAGCATTCAAGAGATGTCATTATATATACAGTATTTTTCGGTTAATTGACCCTACGGTTAACTGGTTTCAGTACACAACAATTCGAAACAATCCTAGACAATAAAACTTCCTGGCGACAATGTATTATTTAAAAAATCTCCAGATGCATTATGGACGAGTGGTCAAATTGTTCAAAATTATGAAGAATCAAGATCTTTCTGTGTAAGGAATAGTGATAGAGTTGTATACAGGAGAAATGAACAACACGTTTTTCTAGTCTTAAACCAATCCAAAATACTTCCGGAAATGAAATTATAGAAGATGAAGAAACGATTAATGATGAAAATAACATACAGTGAGCAGCAAAAGTCATGATACCCCATACAAATAAAAAATATTCAGTAATTACTAAAAAAATAATTTACAAAATTTAAAATAATTATTTTTATTTTATGTATTCGCTCCTATACTGCAACAATGGAAAGAAATATTTCATTTATTTGTTCCAACAAACCATAAAAAAATCGAGATCGTGTCAACTCCAAATTTTTGCGCAGCATAAGTCATTGTACTCCTGGTCAGAGCTGATATTACACATAATGTATGAGATAAAATCGTTTAGTAAATTGGTGGCAACTATTTAGAGTTTTGTCAAATTCTCTTTTAAAACAATAACGATACTTTCCACATTTTCATAAGCATTTGCTTAGTGCAACAAGTGAAAGCAAGTATTTTTTAAAATGCCTAGAAAAGAACTGACTATTGAAGAGAGAGAAAATAATAATTAATAACCATCAAATAGGAAAATCCTATTCCGAAATAGGTTAAATGATAAACAGAACCAAATCAGCAGTCCAAAAAGTGGTTAATCGATACAAAAAAGAAAATATAATTAAAAATAAACGGCGATCAGGCCGTCCCAGGAAGCTCAACATCAGAGAATAACGAAAAATTGAATATATTATTAAAAAAGATCCATTTACCAGCAGACACGGTACGTAGGTGCATCAAGAAGTGTGGATTCAATGCTCGCACTGCCCGCAAAAACCACTTGTTAACAAAACAAACAGAAAGAAGCGTGTCGATTTTGCAAATGATTATAAAAACAAGACAAATGAGTTCTGGGAAAAAGTTATTTTCTCGGACGAACCGAAATTTAACATATTTGGGTCGGATGGATGCTGTTTGGTGTGGCTCGGAAAACAGTAAAGCACAGAGGGGTCACCGACGTAGCCAGCCCGGTCCCCCCCCAGGAACAACGCGAGTGCTTTTTTGACAACAGTATCTGGTGCAAAAATAAAACCATGAAAAGAACACTAAAAACCTCACTTGACAATTATTTTACAAAAAAACCTGCGGTAGGTATATTTATTTGAACATGATTCCTTTGTTCTATGTTACTATTTTACAATGAACTATCCGTTGCATATTTGTAAAATAAATTTTTTACAACCAATTATCCGTTGCATATTTGTAAAATAAATATTCTTCTTTGCTGTTGTTCTTTTTTTCAACGATTTCGCAAATATCGCAGTCCCGCATACCACTTAAGCAACCAAAAAACCGTTGAAAAACACAAATGCAAAACCACAAAAAAACACCAAAATAACTAGTATGTAGTTAGAAATATACTAGTTGCTTTTTCTTAAAACTAGTAACATATCTCTCCTTTTTCCATATAACGAACTGTCGATTTTAACATAGGGTTTCATATACGCATATCCAGTTCATTTTTATACAATTAAAGTACTAGATCCTATACTAGTTAATTACATACTAGTTGTTATGTAGTACTGTAAACTACTGTGTTTGGACTAGTTTTATGTGAACTAGTGCATACTCTAGTATGCTTCATAGTATAGTAGTTTTATGCTACTCATATCCTTCCTAGTTGTATAATAATCCATCAATATAGTAGATATCGGATATATAAGAAATAATCGCATATCCTATAATTCCATATAAGAAAAAAAACGTATATAAGAAAGAAATCTCCGGCTTTTTTGAGTTTCTTATATCCGATATCTACTGTACCAGTTTCACACTAGTTGGTTATGTATAGTTAAATACGGGTTAATTTTATCGTTTTTTAGTTATTTTATTTTTTAAAAAGTAACATAAATTTATATTCACGTTTAAAATTAAATTAAAATAAAAATCCATATCCACATTTAAAGTAAGTTGGTAAAGTAAAATAAAAAATAATTCACGTAAAAATTAATACTACAATTTAATTTACATCAATATTTTCCGCTGACGCTAGATCGATCTTTTTGTTTTAATAATTATTTCTAAATTGTTTTTTTTTTTTTTTGCATAATTGCATTGCCTGGCGTAGTAGCTATTCCGCACCTTTTTCCCCTAGGGATGGTAGAGTTTCGATGGAGTCTGGAAAATTTTTAATAAATTGTTCAATTATTAAAATTTTACGTTAAAATATTCTAATTACCAATTAAAGCTTTATAGAAATTTTTATATTTCCTTAAAGAAAGTTATTTATATATTTAGTTTATATTTATGTTTTTTGTATCTACATTAGAACTATTTCTTAATATATTAATGTATACTTCACGTTGTTTATTTCTTTTATTTCTTTTAATCATTTTACTTTCCGAGTTGAATAGTTTTTTTTTCACAGAGAAAGCACAGCACATCCACTTTACACAAAACCACAGACTGAATGATCTACAAACAGTACAGCTTTGATTCATTTAAAAAAAGGGTTGCCAAAATACGTCAATATACCATTTTCGCATGATATTTTATATTGCAAGCCTGACCAAACATTAAGATTTGCCGAAAAACATAATTTGTCAACCCTGTAATCGAAGCACAAATTAACGGGAAAATGACAATGAGTGGGAGAGCATCGCTCACTGCAGCTCTTTGTAAGACAAAAGAGAGTAATTTACTTATGAGAGAGCAGTGTAGTCAGTCTCTATTTCACTTTGACTAACACGAGCAACTAAACTGTCTCATTGCAACTAGTAGTATGACTATTTCAGTGTTGGGCAAAATTAAATTGAGAGCAAGTGTGTGCGAGCGTAACTGAGTATTCACCATTAAAAACGACTGACGTAAAGAGAAAGAAAGAGAAAATGTGTTTACCCATTGGCCCTCAGTTACGGTAGCGTATATGGCCGAGCATGCCTGGACTATTTCAATACTTAACTAGTTTTCATTTTAGCTACAGTGAACTAGTAGTATGACTGTTTCAAATCGTGACTAGTTTTTATTTTAGCTGCAGGGTATATTCACCTCGTTCTCCGATTATGTGTTAAATTCACCTTTCACTTGCTTTAAAAATTCTCTCTCCCTCCCATGAGAATATGATCCGTGTTGCCGTTCCAAAAAAATTATCAGCGCAAACAAAATGACCCTAAAAATCGACCAAAATCTACCTTTTCATTAGTATTAAAACGGACCAAATGACGATTAATTAGACCAAATTGAAAATATATTTGTTTTTTTCATGCGTAAGGGTTCTGAAGTGCCAAAACGGCAATACTGGCAACGAGTACTAGTAAAGGTTTTTAATGCCACAATTCTGTGATTCTTCTCTTCTTAAATAGAAAACAATGTTGCCAATTAGCGTTATGTAGGACAAAATTACCAAATTCAATAAAGTGAAGTTTTCCTAATATTCAACATATCAGCATTGTACTTTTTATTTAGTTAAATTTCGGAAAATATAAAAAATTTTAATTATGATCCTAGATTAAATTTCTATTCAGAAACAATTTGTAGGGTATCATGTTTTTTTATATTTTTTAAACGGATTATACCTACAGTGGTTGAACAAATAATTGAAATAAGCTTAACATGGTATTTTGAATGTCTTTTTTGGCGGAATTGAAAGATGGATTTTTATAATTAGCATTAGGATTTTATAATTCCATGTATTATTTACTTCAATTTCTAATTTCTTTAACAGAATTGTTTTCTGCGGCGGTTTTAGTGATAAAAAATAATTTTTTGACATAAAAAATATTCTTATTATTTAAAT